CCCACACTAAATAAATAGAAAGTGTCTAGGGGTTTTTCTGTCTTCTGTGAGTTTCCAGCCTCAGTGAGATGGATGGAAACTATGCAATTATCAAAAATGAATGGGAGGCTTCAGAACACCTGGACTGAGATTGACACCATTGATGGCACATCTGAATTCTGAAGTATGTTAGCAAAATCAGAGATTAGTCAGTGCCCCTTGGCTCCTGTATCCACAGGTACATTCTGTTTGATGGAGATGTGGATGCTCTCTGGGTTGAAAACATGAATTCTGTCATGGATGACAACAAGTTATTGACCCTGGCAAATGGGGAGCGGATTAGACTTCAGTCGCACTGTGCTTTGTTGTTTGAGGTAAGTACTGTTTAATACATGGGAAGGGTTAGATACAGATGGGTCTACAAAGCCTGAAAAGCAGTTATTGTGGCAGTTCTTTGTTTAAGTGTATGATTATCTTGTACGGTTATTTTATAGGTTGGTGACTTACAGTATGCATCTCCTGCCACCGTATCCCGCTGTGGAATGGTCTTTGTAGATCCTAAAAATCTGAAATATAAGCCCTACTGGCAGAAGTGGATACAAGGAAGAGGAAATGAGGTGGGAATTTCTGCACTTGTTCAGAGAGTGTCTGTAGTAAATACTGAACTGTAGACAGCTGTAAAAAAACCCCAACAACTTTGTAAAGGCAGCTTGATTTATCTGACAACAAATCTAATCACTAGGCCTGCAGCAGAAGGCTAAAGAGAGTTCCCAGCTTTTCTAACTTCTGGTTGTTTCTGAGAAGTGAAGAACCAAGAAATCGGTTTACCTGATCTCCAAAGAGTTAACAGTGAGATTGCCTAGGTCCTTGTTTCTTACATTTAGAGTAAAAACTTAAGTCCACAGGGAGCTGAAGTAAGACAACCTAGTTGCTAGCACCTGATGAATGCAGATCCTCACCTGCCGAAAACCCAGTCCATACAAGTGTCACATTTTTTCATGTGACTGTACCCTGTCTTTGGTAGAAGTGATTCCTGCAAGAACAATCATACTTGGTCAGCCAGGTATTGCTGGGAAGCTCTGCTGTCAAAAATCAGCTTTCCAGGTTTCTGTGTGCTAAATTATTGTCCTTTCTTTCCTCAGCAAGAGAGAATTGAATTGGATCGTCTCTTTCAAAAATATGTGCCCTACCTTATTGATATGATTGTAGAGGGAATTGTGGATGGCAGACATGAAGAAAGGCTGAAGACCATTGTTCCTCAAACAGATTTAAATATGGTAAGAAATAGAGAATAAAGGTTGAAAAAGTTTATCTAAAAAAGAGAAATGGAATGATGGAGAAAGTAAAAAACTTCCAGAGGAAGCACAGGAGTAGAGTCCGTGATGAAATGTCAGTCTGGTAGTGCTGAGCACCAAGAGACAAAAGAAACAGTCAGTTCCTAACAATACTCTTATACTGTCATTAATACGCATATCAGTAGATACACCTGTAAGGACAAAAGATCAGCAAACACTCAAACAGCTGAAAACATATTAAGAGTTTTCATGCAAACACTCAAACAGCTGAAAACATATTAAGAGTTTTCATGCATCTAAATGGCAATTCTATTTACAATTTTGTCTTGTTTTACAACAGGTGGTCCAGTTGACTGTGATGCTGGAAGCTCTAGTTGTGATACAGTCTGATGATCCTGATGTTCTGGAGTGTTTTTTCTTGGAAGCTTTGTATTCCTCCTTAGGTGCTGCTCTTCTTGATGCTGGGAGAATTAAATTTGATGAAAAAGTTAAACATATTTCCTGCATGCCTACTGTTCATGATGACAACATCCTGGCTAAGCCAGGGGAGCTGCCAGGTAGGATCTTGTCATAATTTTGTCTTATATAATTTTGATTATATTAGAAAAAATTTAGTTTCCATGAAGGCAGAACATCGTTCTTCCTTCCAGCTAGCTATCCTGGCTGCAAAATATGCTCTCCGAAGGGCTATCACTGAAAACCAAGTAGAGATACTGATTCTGATGACTCTCAGCTACTGGTCTGTCCTCACAGGACAGTACTTTTCTATGCCAAGCTGAAGAGATAAACAGTGAAATGAAAAATAAAACAAAAGGAAAGCCAGTGGATGGTGCTTAAAAAGCGATAGTATGATCCAAGTGCTGGACTATGAGAATTTTGGTTGATGTCTTACTGGGTTAAATGACAAATAAACAGAACACAGTGTTGCCCAACTTGATCCAGAATCTTACCCTTGACTTTCATCTCAATCAGATTATTTTCTTATGAAATATTTCAGTATCGTAGAAAACCTCCAGTTGCTTAATGGTTTGCAGGTCAGCTGCCAACTTTGTATGACTTTCATTTTGATGGATTTCAAAAAAAGTGGGTACCCTGGATGAAACTTGTTCCTGAATATATTCATAAGCCTCAAGTAAAATTTCTTGACATTCTAGGTGAGTGTAAGACAAACTACAGTGATGATATGCCTTTAATTTATAATCTGCCACCACTGAGTGCATGGCACTTAACATGAGACATCCTCTTTCTGTACCGAAGGTCATCTACTCAGGTTCAGTTTCTTGTGATGGCACAAATCAATTTCTTTAATGTTCTTGTCATAGTAGTTTAGCAGGAATAGACTTGATATTTACAGTACTGTATAAGAAAAAAATGAGGAAAGGATGAAAAGCTTGTTTCAGTTAATAAGGCTTATTAGGAGCTAACAATGCTTTTACAAGCCAGAATAGCAGAAGACTTACAATCCGCTCTGCTAGAAGCTCTAGGAAAAATGTCAGCTCCATGGTTCAAGTACTTGGTAGATAAAACTGATGTTCTTAAGGCTGTTATTGGTTGTTACTTCAAGCACTGTATAATGGTGACAGGTGACTTTTCATAGTTAAGGACAAATTAAGGCAGGTTACCTTATAGTCATACTTCAGCAAGCACAGGTTAACTTCACTGGCACAAGAGAGAATGATATGATCTCTAAAGTTGCTCCTAGTGGCAGGCTATTCACATAGAAAAAAATAATCTCTGCAGAGTTCTGGAAAAATGCTTATGATCCAAATAAATCCTGATTATATCCTTGAAATAGGGATTAAATGGATCTTAGCCAGTCCATGACCCTCCTATATGGAACATAACTTCTTTTTTAATATATCTATAGGAGAAAATATCCCAATGATAAAAGCTGAAAAGAGGTGGTTGAGCAATTAAAATTTTCTTTCAACATTGTTAAGTGAGTTGATATTTCAGATTATGTCTTTGTGCAACTGCATGTTAATACTTTGAGAGTCTGATCCAGCACTGTTTTATAAATATAAATCCCCCAGCTGTACTGCATTTTAACTTAACTTGCTTTCATATTCATGATCTTTTTCAGTCCCTACAGTGGATACAACACGCACTACTTGGTTACTGGAACAGATGGTAAAAATAAAACGTCCAGTTGTTCTTGTAGGCGAATCGGGTACATCTAAAACAGCAACTGCACAAAACTTCCTAAAAAATCTGGACAAAGACCTTAATGTATGTATGAGGCATTTTGCCTTCTTTGTAAAGCTGCATTTTTATTCTTTGTGTTAAATTTGCATTGTGAAGCCTGAGTCTTTGCGCAGCAATATTGACTTTAGTAATGTGACTGTAAGCTCCAGACCCAAAGTGTGTGAATGATTTGAGAATCCTTCAAGATCAAAGATGTTTTGTTCTGTTCTGCCATGTAGGATTGAATTTTATAAAGTAAATATGTATTATTGAAGTGCTAAGAATGGGATTACTTTTCTTTGTCGTTTGTAATTCAAGTGAGTAAATGGACCAGAAAAACCAAGTGTTTCCTGTATATCTGACAGTTTAATGTAAAGAATATTTTTTGAATGCTCTAGTTAAAAAAAAAAACAAACAAGTAAAAGTCCATCCTTATTCATTTCCTCCCCTTTGCAGCTGCTGCTAGTAATTAACTTCTCTGCTCGTACAACATCAACGGACATTCAACGAAACCTAGAGACAAATGTAGAGAAACGAACAAAAGATACTTACGGTCCTCCTATGGGAAAACGTCTCATTGTTTTCATGGATGATATGAATATGCCAAGGGTAAGCTGCCAGTAGTTTGCAAGGTAGTATAGAAACATTTGTGGTGGCACTGATGTGGTCCCTTCATACATGGATCCAATGAATCACAAGTCAAGGAGATTCATGGTAAGTGCGTAACTGGGTTTCAGCTTAGGATCTTCAGAAGAGTTGGACTTGTGTGCAGTAGGTCTTGTTTCTGTCTGTTACAATATTTGTCCTATATATAAGAGATGCCATTGGATCATTTCTTTATGCCACTAAAATGTTTCTGTGGCCTGATATTGGCTGCAGGCTGTGCACTGTAGAAACCATTCCTTTCTCTTTACAAATGCGGCAAAAGAGTATGCGTGCATTTAGTTTATCTCAGAAGAGAGGCACTTTTCCCATAGGAGACATTGGACCAAATGTTCACAGTCAGTGCTAGAACTTTACAAAGTGTTCCTTAGTCCTTGTAATGTTCTCCTGAGTATGGAGCATGATATTTCCACATTTATAGCAGTAATTGGTGTGCTGATGTACTGTGCTCTAAATATCTTGACTCTCTTGTGTTACAAAGGTTGATGAGTATGGCACACAGCAACCCATTGCCCTGTTGAAGCTGCTGCTAGAGAAAGGTTTCTTGTACGACCGTGGTAAGGAGATGAACTGTAAACTTCTTCGAGACCTGGGTTTTATTGCTGCCATGGGGAAAGCTGGAGGAGGTCGGAATGAAGTTGACCCTCGATTCATCTCACTCTTCAGTGTTTTTAACATACCTTTTCCTTCTGAGCAATCACTGAATTTGATCTATACCTCCATCCTGAAAGGCCACACCGCGGTAATTTCACTGTTTTTGAAGGATTGCTCAACAGGTGTATTATTTTTAAATAGACATTTATTTCTGTGTTATTGCAAGACCTGAAATCTTCTGTCCTGAGGTTTTCTTCTTATTTAGAACCTCATGCAAACCTTTCCCTTCCTCTCTTCTTTCTCAAGAGATGGGTTTACACTGTTTTGATAAATTCTTGAGTAATATGTAAACATTCAAGTCAGCAGATAATTTATAAACCTGGTGCTTTTCATAAGTTGAAATCTATGAATGATTTGATTATGGTTCCTGTAACCAAATACACAAAGATCAGCAAAGTCTTTCCTGAATGACAGTGAAAAATTCAATACAATGCAGTAGACTGCATTACTAGCAAGTAACCTGCAACATTATATAAGAAAAGAGCAGCTCATTTTTTTCTGCTATAGAAGTGCTATAGGAATTCCAGTCATGGAGTTTGATGTTCTCTTCAGCACTATGCAAACTCGGGAGTGAAGATGGGCCCTGCCCAAAACATTCAACTGCAGAATGCTAATACTGCAGAAGAATATTGCCCTCAATTATTTGAAGTATACCAAATAGGGTTAAAAGCTGGAAAGCAGAATATATTTAATAGCATTGAGTTCTCTCTGGGCAGTTTCATGAAAACTCTTCTTTCTCATGTTTGCAGGTGTTTAATGAGTCTATATCAGCCATCACTGACAAGATTACTCTGTGTACTTTAGAGCTGTATAAAATGATTATTCATGACCTACCCCCTACTCCTTCCAAATTCCATTACATTTTTAACCTGCGGGATCTTTCCAGGGTCTATAATGGACTTACTCGCACAACTCCAGAAAGGTAAGAATAGAAAAATTGTCTTCAGTGATCCTACACCTATTTATATTGGATGAATCTGGGTGAAGATGAGGTAATTTGGTACATGAAATCAGTCACATTTGGTCACTTCATTGAACTGTCACCACAATGAGAAGGTGTTCAGGAACATCCTAAATTGTGATACTACTCTTGATGACAAACACTGATGCATTAGTCTTTCTTAAGTAAGATATCCAGAGGCAAAAATGCAAGCAAACTAATTATTTGCCCTTATAAAAAGAAGAAAACCAAAAAAAGTAAAAAAACCCCAGATTTGGTCCGTATGGTCTTAGGAATCATGTCAGCTTGTTTGGTGCAGTCTGATATTTCAATTTTATGTAGGTTTCAAACGGTGACCCAGATGGTGAGAGTTTGGAGAAATGAGTGCCTGAGGGTTTTCCATGACAGGCTGATTAATGAAGCAGACAAAGCATTGGTGAGTAATTTCTTTCAATTTTTAGTAGTTACTATTACTATGGCAACTAATTTGCAACAGCAACATTACTAACTGTTGCACTCAGGTCTTGCAGTCAGACTGCAGACTTGTCTAACCACCATGTTGCTCCATTCGTTTAAAACATGGCCCATGCAGTTTTATTTTCTAAAATAAAGCGACTATGGCAGACTAAGTGAGCAGATCTGCTGAAGGAACGGAAAGTGTCACTGGGTTTGCCTGTCCAGGAAAATTAGCAGTGGCACAGGTGACAAACTGTGATAGCAGTCCAGGGGAAAACTCAGGAAATTTCATTTTGCAAGTCAATATTTTTCTTTAGGAAGAAATGTACCAGAATGTAGCTATACAATCAAGTAGGAAAACAAAGATTGAGAGCCAAGCTCTTAAACAATGCATTCAGTTTTGGCTATTATGCTAACTGGAAAATGCTTCAAATTATATCTTAAAACACAAGAGACAATTACAGCAGTTTTATACCTTAAAGAATTAGGGATAATTTGGGTAGTTTACTTACATATAAGTAAGTATGAAAAGAGATTAAGGTGGCTTCAGGTTTTTCTGCTTAAAACTTTCTTCTCTAACATAAAAAGATGCATTTCCAGCTCAATTTTCACAACTCAGAATAATTATATTGCAACTTTTCTGTATTTGTACATTCATTCAGACTTACAAGATTTGTCAGAAATCTTGGTGGACATCTATGAATGCTGAGAAGGAAGGTTTATTAATATAATATTTACACCAATATATAAGAAGGTGTTTTTTTAACAGGCTTTCCCTTTTCTGTCTTGAACTTCTGCAGTCCATTAACTTGAATGGTTCTTGAACTGCGTATTAGATGATTTTAGATCATACATAGAATACAATAGGAGGTTGTGGTCTTTGGATCTTCTAGTGACACAAATATGCCCTTGAAATCAGTCGCTATTTGAGCAAGAATCTGCATTATCACCCTTCTGAGTGTTACTGGATTCAAAATCATCTGCATTGTTGTTTTGCCTGACTTATTTCATGTATTTGAAGGTACAAGGCCATATAAAAAATTTGATTGAAGAGAATTTCAGAGATGACTTGGAGCAGGCCATGAGGGATCCTATTCTTTTTGGAGATTTCAGAATGGCACTGAGTGAAGGAGAACCTCGTATTTATGAAGATATCCAAGACTATGATGCAGCAAAAGCTCTCTTTCAGGTAGCATGCATCAGCTTGGAACCATGCCTGATTCTGTCTCTGTGCCTGAGGAATGGGCAGGAGCCTGCCTCAAGCTGTAGGAAATCTGTTCTCTTTTTGTGCGCATGTAGAATTTTATGTGCACTGTTACCCATTTGGGGTCTACAGTAATGAAAATTGAGGATTGGCTACAGAGTTGGCAGTATTTTCCATTAGTTTCTTTTCCCTGAGGAAGGGGAAAGGAATAATGCTGCTAAATGGCTTGTTATTTTATTAATGTTATTAATTATTTCCTTGGTCTCCTAGTAATATTCTGTCCACCTTTCTCTGCAGGAGATTTTGGAGGACTATAATGAAGTTAATATTAAAATGAATCTGGTTCTTTTTGATGATGCCTTGGAGCACTTAATCCATGTACATCGCATCATACGGATGTATCACGGCCATGCCCTGCTCATAGGAGTGGGAGGCTCAGGAAAACAGTCTCTAACGAGACTGGCTGCCTATACAGCTGGATGTGAGGTTAGTGACCCTGCATCTTTGCAGTGAAAGAAGACAAGGAAAGCGATATTGTGATCAGGATTAACTTGTCGGGGCGGGAAGTCAGTGAGTCAAGATAAGATCAGGCTGGCATCTCTTTCCTGTGGAGACAAAAACAGGGTGAGGTGGTTGCCAGGAGGTTTAAGATGATGACTGTGGGTGATTTGGGCAGGAAGCTGTCAGTGCCTGAATCTGGGGTTTGGCACTGAGGACAGAAAACAAGGATAGGTTGGCAGCGAACAACCAATAGTCCCTAACTACTGCTTTTGTTACTTACCGTATTACAGGAGCAGTCCAGTACTGCTGAGGAACCTTGTTGTGATTGATACTATAATATTTCAGATAGGAAATGTTCTTCTCTCAGAAGTACTTTCAGTCTCTTACAGAGGCTGTTGGCTTGGAAGGGAAGAACAAAAAAGGAGGATGAACACAAAGCAGTTTTGAAAATGCAATCCTGCAGGGTTGTATAGTGCATAATTTTTTTGATACTTGCACATTTACTGATGATAGGGGCCAACTCAAAACCCTTGATCCAGTCTAATTGAAATTCAGAGTTACCATCATGTCTTCTCAGTATATGTTTGCATCCTTAGGTATTTGAGATCATCTTGAGTCGAGGATATGGAGAAAATAATTTCCGAGAAGATTTGAAAAAGTTGTACCAGAAGCTGGGCATTGAGAACAAGTCAATGGTCTTCTTGTTTACAGATGCCCATGTAGCGGAAGAGAGTTTCCTGGAACTCATCAACAACATGTTAACTTCAGGTGAAACAGGCAACCTCAAGTACTCCCAATCAGTATCTGCTTGTGACTCATAATCTCAAATGTACCCTTGGTCCAGCTATTACTGTTTCACCCTGTCCCCTCTGCTGCTTTAGTTAGTTACTCATTTCAGTACTACCTAAAATGATCTTGGCCTCAATAATGGCATTTTGTCATCTTCTTAGAGTTGTTTATATATGGCTGGGAAGGCTATCGGGTTAATTCGCACTGATCATGGTATTGCAGGAGTCTTAGATTTCTTCCAGGACAGCTTCTTCAGCTGCATTTGGCCACAAACCCACCTTTTGTCCTATTGGCTCTTGAATAGCATTTGCTTGAACTGCAGCAACTGCTTCTACCTATATGTCCTAAACTGTAGTTTAGTATCATAGAATCATAGAATGGTTTGGATTGGAAGGGACCTCAAAGCCCATCTAGTTCCAACCCCCCTGCCATGGGCAGGGACACCATCCATTAGCCCAGGTTGCCCAAAGCCTCATCCAATCTGGCCTTAAACACTTGCAGGAATGGGGCCTCCACAACCTCTCTGGGCAACCTGTTCCAGAGCCTTACCACCCTCACAGTAAAGAATTTCTTTCTAACATCTAATCTAAACCTCTTTTAGCTTAAGCCTGTCCTGTCACTACACTCCCTGATAAACAGTCCCTCACCATCTTTGCTGTAGGTACTGGAAGGCCACAATTAGATCTCCCCGGAGCTGCCTTTTCTCCAGGCTGAACAATCCCAACTCTCTCAGCCTGTCCTAACAGGAGAGGTGCTCCAGCCCTCTGATCACCTTTGTGGCCCTCCTCTGGACTCGCTCCAACAGCTCCATGTCTTTCTTGTCCTGGCAACCCCAGAGCTGGATGCAGTACTGCAGGGGGGTCTCACCAGAGCAGAGGAGAGGGGCAGAATCACCTCCCTCGACCTGCTGATCACACTTCTTTTGATGCAGCCTGGGACACGGCTTATCTTTTAGTGTATGCAGCAGCTGAAAATGAGCAGCAACTGGCACTGTGTGACCACCCTCTCTACAGAAGTTTCTACACAGTCTGATTTGAAAACAAATATTTTAAATTTTATCCCTTTCCTTGGTGTAGTTTTCCCTGTTCCTAGTCTGCTTATGTCTGTCATTAGGTAACTCGTGCAATATTTGCCACATGATTGAGAGAATAAAAATGTGAACTGATGGTTTGTAGACACTAATGAAGATTTTCTTCAGAGTTAAAAGCATTTTATGTTCTTGTGACATTTTGTATATGTTGCTAAAGCCCAAACAAAAATGAATTAATTTTATTCCTCTAAATCCCCTTGCGTCATCCTAAGTACTGTCTCTCTATTTTCCATGGGGGCTCGGGGGAGGAGGAGAAGCATAGCGATATTAGTATGTTCATTCAAAACTACCCAGAATCATTTTTGCAGAACTAGGTTGACAATTTGTGAGACTGCTTTGTCATCTGCCCTATCCCCAGCCATATGGTTTTCTCTTACTGGTTGTTCTCACTAGCATTCTTTTGTCCTTCTGTTACAGGAATGGTGCCAGCCCTGTTTCCGGAGGATGAAAAAGACACCATACTAAGTCAGATTGGAGATGAAGCTACTAAAGCTGGCGCGAACCCAGCTAAAGAGAGTGTCTGGCAATATTTTGTAAACAAATGTGCAAGCAACCTTCACATTGTCCTGGGAATGTCCCCGGTTGGGGACAGTCTGAGAATGTGGTGCAGAAATTTCCCAGGTATCAATTGCACACACTGCTTAGACCCTTCCCTGTGCAATATGGTTTTGCAGGCAAGAGAAAATCTCCAGTGGACACCCAGAGATGTCTGGCAGCTAAAGCTAAGCAGAACAGGTTTCATGATTAAGGATTTGCAGTGCATGATTTTTTTTCCAGTTAATTACCACATATCAGTGAGTATTATTGATTAGTGTTTACCAGATCAGTTCATTTTCCAGCTGAACAGCTAGAAATCAATTGGTCATCCTTATTGAACTGGAAATATACAGTCTATGTCTGTAGCCTCTCTTCTGTAGTTTACAGAAGAATGTGTGGTATTAAATGATTATGAAACTAGGACAGTGGTAAGAGAAACATATTTGTATCCAAAGCCAAAAAAAGGGCATGGTGAGGGGGACACCCACTGAGAGAAAAACCACCTGAGCCTAGTGGATGCTGTGCTTCAGCAGGTGGCTGGAAGGAGTCTTGGGAGACTGAAGAGACATGTGAAAGATGGGTATGGGTGGGAATTCTAACCCAGGCATTAAAATACCTTGTTGCAACTCTTGACTGCATCCTGTAGAATGGTACAGCCTAAAGAATAGTACAATGGGGTTAGCAGGACACAGGTGCAAAGCTGATTGTTTACTATCAAAATGGAAGTACTGACTTTGGTAAATATTGTTGCTAAACAGCAGTCAAATAAGACAAATCCTGCAGATTCTTGATGCAAATAAAGTATAGGACTGCCTGGCAGATTAGGGTCTAGTTTTACAAAGGAATTTTTCAGATAACACTGTCCTTTTATTTTTAAGGTCTTGTCAACAACACTGGTATTGACTGGTTCTTGCCCTGGCCCCCCCAGGCCTTGTATGCAGTTGCACAATCCTTTGTCGGTATGTAAAATGTCAGTATTTTAACCCATTAACCCTTGGGATAGGCTAAGAAATATATGATGTACTTTGTAGTTATTGTAGATTTCATAATTTGATTTCCCATTGTGCTTGTTACCCTGAGTCTAAACGGGTGATGCAAAATCCCAGTCAAAAAATGTTTTTGGATGGAAGTTTCTCACTGAAATACATTTAAAAAATTGCTAAAATTCAAGTTCCCAACTCCGCAGACAATATGGCCTGCCTACCAGGAGGCCCAGGTTCTCTTCTGACTCTGCCTTGATCTTGCTTTTTGCCCCAGAAAAGACTTTTTTTGCGCCTGGCTTAGATGCACATAAGAAAGATGGAAATTGGCAGACTCTTAAAAAAAGCCAACAAAACCTTTGAATTTTTTTATTTCTTCTGCCCAATTTTAGGAAATAGCACACGCATCCCATCAGAAAGCTCCAAGTCGGTGATTGAGCACATGGTCATGGTGCATGAATCTGTAGGTGATTTCAGCAAGAGGTTTCTGCAGAAACTGAGACGTAGCAACCATGTCACACCAAAGAATTACCTGGATTTTATCCATACTTACTCAAAATTGCTGGAGGAGAAAAACGAGTTCATTTTAGGTAGGGCTGTGTAGATGTTTTCTACTTTTTAACAAATGATTTAAATATTTTAAAAAGAAAAAAAAAATTGTGGTAAGAATCCCAAATATTACCCAGATTATGCAAAAATCATTTTATCAGTGCTATCTCAAATGCAGTGCTGGCATCTGTTTTTGACATTGGACCAATACCTGGCCACATGTGAATGGTCAGACTCCGTCAAACAGTGGGCTCTCCTCTGATTCTTCTGTGCATGAACCTGAGCCAGAGTCTCCAAAGCAGACACTCTTCTGCTTGGGGAAGTGTCTGATTAGATCTAATGCCAGCTCAGCCTAGCTCAAGGTTTGACATTCTTCCTCAAGCAGCAATTCTTATTAATACTTCAGTGAGCACTGAAATGTGTGAAGAGGATAAACCATGAACAGTGTAACATGGAAAGCAAGTTGTGGCACAGGGCAACTACGTGGCAGCTCAAGTGACATTAACACTATCTTGAGTGGGAGGCTTAGAAAAGGAAAAATCTCTCAGAGTCATTTTCCTTTCATAACTGAGGTTGTGTGCTGCAAAGTGCATCTATAAGCATGTTTACCTTCTGTGAGATTGTCTATTGCTGTGTGATAGTACACAGTCAATGAATCACTAATGTTTCTGCTCTTTTTCCTACCTAGCACAATGTAAACGGCTGCATGGGGGCTTAGTTAAACTGAAGGAAGCTAGTATACAGCTGGTTGAGCTGAACAAGAAACTTGCTGAGCAAAAGATTGTACTAGCAGAAAAATCAGCTGCTTGTGAGGCTTTGTTACAAGAGATTTCATCAAACACAGAAGTCGGTAGGTAGTTTACAACTACTGAAGTGTCCCACAGGCTAAGCAACGCTCCATGTTCTGGGTTGGGTTGGGTTGGAAGACCCTCTAAGAGCTCCAGCTGCTTCTAGAGGTAACCCTCCTGTTCTATCTGTGCTGACCTAGTGTTGTGCTAGAAGAGTAGGTCCCCTGTCTTGCCCGGATTGCCATTTTTGCAATAGATTTGGCCTACAGTGCTTTACACAACTCAATACTATGTTCTCCTGCCCTTGTCCTTCCCTTTCCAAAGTGTAGGGTGTAACATGGGAAAGAGGCATTAGCAAGAAAAAGGGACCTTCTGATTCAGAAAATTACTTTTAGAGGAAAAACAGAGGGAAGCATGGGAGGAAGACATTATGTATGCTCTTGTGTGGAACACTAACAGTATTCCTAACCTGGTGATGGAACTGTGAACATTGGCAAACTAGCGACAAAAAGTACTGAGTTGATGGTAACTTCTGATTTTCAGCCAAGAGCAAATGTGTATTAGCATACGTTCTGTATACAAATATGAATAATCCATTTATGGTCCTGCCTTTACAATTCCTAGCTGAGGAGAAGAAAAAGCTGGCTGAAGAAAAAGCTATGGAGATACAGGAACAGAATAAGATTATTGCTATGGAGAAGGCGGCTGCTGAGACAGCTCTGGCTGAAGTCATGCCTATTTTAGAAGCTGCCAAACTGGAGCTTCAGAAGCTTGACAAGTCTGATGTTACTGAAATCAGGTGACTCATTTGGATGTACAGTAGCATAAACTCTTGGAAATTCACTGAGACACTCTTTTTTGCAGGCTCTGAACCTTAGCCTCACCTTTCTCACCTGTATGGTGTGTGGGTGAAGGTCAGGACATCCGTTGTCTGCATGCAGAGGTCTCAACAGAACCCCCTGATTCCTAGCCCAGAACTTCCCCTCAAGCCTGTTCTTCCACTCCTTCGTTTGACATCTTCCCCATAATTCTCTACCCTGTGTCTGATGCACTAGAAAGTTCTATGGATTTTGCCTGAACAGTGGCTGTCCAAATCCCTTCATTCCTCCTCTGTTTTTATTCTGTGTGAATACCAGTACCACATACTAGTTACTTTTCAGGGATGGTTTAATAGCATGAAAATGTATTTCTCTGCCGAATTAACTTCTTCCTGTGTTTTTATAATACATCTTGTATTTGGGGATAGATATGAAAGCACATCCAGTCCTTGGCTGTCTCCAAAATAGAATAGAATTCTCTGGATTCTTCCTATACTCCTTCTCCCGGTGGACAGCTGCTTCACTGCCCGAGGGAAGAATATCATGGCTCAGGATTTTAGGCCTTCCACTCTTGAAATCCTTTAGTAATTTATTGATCAAATAATTGTCTGAATACAAGAATCAGTTTTGAGCTTTTGACTAGTTAATAGTTTCTCATCTGGCCTGGATTATCTTTATTATACATGTCTTATGTACTAGCTCTTGTATTGCAATGACTCTCTTAATGGGAAGTATCAGTGTCTGGCATCATGTGCTTTGTCTCCTCCTTTTTCTCCTCCACTGTCTCCTTCATCTGTTTTCTAGATCCTTTGCAAAACCCCCTAAGCAGGTGCAGGCTGTTTTGGAATGTGTTCTTATAATGAGAGGTTACAAAGAATTAAACTGGAAGACAGCCAAAGGAATGATGTCTGAGGCAAATTTCCTGCGATCCCTGATGGAGATAGATTTTGATGGAATTACTCAGAGCCAAGTGAAATCTGTCCGAGGTAAATTACTGACCTATATGCTTAGAATGAATGTAGCATCTTGTTAATGTGATTAGCCATGTCAGCAGCAGTCCTTCCAGTGATGTTTGGGAGGGTGGGATTCACTTTGTGCAAAGGGACAGCGCTGTCTGCAATGCTGCAGATGTTGCACTGTGGGGGTGACTGGACTTTTCAGAGTTCAAGGATAATCTGCTATGTGTTACATCCAGTTTGTAGACACTTTGGTTTAGAGCAGGCAAGAAACAAGCAGGACAGCTCAGCGGGCCTGCTGAATGCCTTTAGCCAATTAGAAAGTATAATTACAGCCTCACCCATGTGGTGGAAATTAAAATGTGTTATGTACAGAGTGGAAGGAAGATAAACTATATCTAAAGCTTATGGGCCAAACTTCGCACATGCTCCTGAGGGTGTAATCCAGAGTAGTTCCATTAAGAGGGGAATTTGGCCCTTTGAACAAAATTGCATCTGACTGCTGCAGAGAAAACAAACCATGATCCTGAGACATGCTGAACAACTCCTGAATGCACTCCCTTCTTGGAGAAAGAACTTGAGAAATCACTAGCAATATTGTGCTTGTACTGTTACAGCCCAGTAGCTTTACCTTAAGGTCAGAGTCTCTTTAATATTCTGACAAATGTTTCATATTGTCTATCACAGCATTGCTTGATATTGCTGGTAGG